CGTAATATCGCGGTTTACATGCCTAAATATACGTGTAATTACACTGTTTTTAGTTGGCCAAAAACAGGATTAGTTTTAGCAGGAAACTATCACATGAGCCTCTTTTTCTTTCTAAATAAAGCTCAACTTTAGAGAAGGCAGAAAATAATAGTTAATGTTAAAATTCAAAATTTGATAGTTTAAAAACGAAAATATTTTTTGCATTTTTTATTCTTTTAGATCGCCGTTACAACATTAGCTGTTCAAATAAAATAATTGTTTTGGAGTAGCGGGCCTGATAGGTAATTGCGGATATCACCGCATAGATCTGGGTTCGAATCTAGGAAGAATCGGGTTTTTTCTGAATCTAACTTAGGTGGTTTTTGTGAATAGGGATTCGTAATCCTATAAATAAATTAATTCCTCGAACCAAACCGCCTTAACTCGTGTTAATGGACATACATTTTTTCAGATTAGGCGAGATTTGGACTTAGATTAAATTTTATTTCGGATCAGAACTCAAAAAGTTTATTTTGTTTTTTTTTCTAAATGTTTTTAATGAAAATTATTTTGAAAAATAACAACAAAATTGTTACAATTTTTCCAATTTCGTTAAAAAAAGTATTGTTTCTTTTTCAACAATCCAACAAAAAAACGATCTAAATTAAAATTTTGGATCGAATTCTGATTCTTGAAAGAAAAAATAATTGTCGGTATGGATAGGTTAAACAAAATAAAATTTCTAGGATAAGGCCTGAAAAAATAGATTCATATTTTATTGATTGGTAGAAAAATTTTGGTAAAAATATTTGTATATACACAGCAAAGACCCGTATTTTTAATTTTTTAAATATACCTGGGCCGGCCCGGGCCTGAAATTGTTTTTTTAATACCCGGGCCGGGCCTAAGATTATTAAACCCGGGCCGGGCCTTAAAATTTTTTTAAAAATTAATACATTATGAATTATTATATACGTCAATTAGATATGGTTATAATTAATATATAATTTACTTCCATTTTTATAAATATTAGTTATATTTTTATAAATGCAATATATAATATAGTATTTCGAGTATTTCTAATTTTATTTACTTCCATCTTTATAAATATTAGTTTTATTTTTATAAATGTAATATATAATATAGGTAGGATATTCTCAAAATTTTATTTATTTCCATTTTTTTTATTAAATATTTTATTTTTTTTATAAATACAAAATAATATAGTATATTCTCAAAATATTATTTACTTTATAAATGCAATATATTACATTGGATATTCTCAAAATTTTATTTACTTCCATTTTTTTTATAAATATCAGTATTATTTTTTTTATAAATACAGTTAATATAGTATATTCTAGGGTTGTTAAACGGCTCGATTTGAGCCGATTTTTAAAACGGCTAACTCAATATTTTATCCAGAAAAATATTACTCAAGCCTGAAGATTTTGCTCACTGATGGCACAAAGGTCTAGACATCTATTAGCGGAATCTGTAGGCAATATTTCTTTGGCTAAAATATTGAGTTAGCCGTTTTAAAAATTGGCTCAAAATGAACCGTTAAACAACACTAGTATATTCTCAAAATATAATTTACATAAATTTTAATATACTAAATATCTGTAGTATAATTAAAAATCGGAGCCGGGCTTAAAAAATTTTTTTTAAAAAATCCGGGCCGGGCTGTAAAAAATATTTTTAAAAAAATCCGGGCCTGGCCGTGCAAATGGTATGTCTGCAGGTCTCTGATGCACAGTATAAAATGTAAGGCTGTGCTGTTTCCAAAATATCAAAAATTAAATCCACAAACTTTCCTAACTTTAATCAAGAAAATATGTAAATAAATTAAGGTATTTTAAAATATAAAAATATGCCAAAAACAAATTCTTTTGAAATTTTGCAAAAGTTTTAAAAATTTGGACATAACCTAGCCTTAAATACACAATTTAACCTTTTTTGCATAATACATCAAAGAAGAACTTATAATTTTTTTAATATTTCCTAACCCCTGTAAAAAAAAGATGTTTTGACTTTTGATAAATTGATTCATTTTTTTTTATTGTCAAAAAAAAAGCGGTGAAATTTAATAAAGAATTACAAATCCTCACTTGATTATGTGAACGATCTAAACTCTTACATTATTAATTTTGTTTTATATGTAAATGTGAAAATCGGCTTTTGAAAACTCAAAAAAATTTATTATTAAATTTATAAAATATAAAGGAAGATGTTTAGTTGCTATTATAAATATATAAATAACTTATGCATATTTTTTTTCTATGAGAGCTGCCCTGCAAGTAGTGCTGCTAAATAGCTCCATTTGAGCTGATTTTCAAAAACGGCGAACTCAATATTTTAACCAGAAAAAATATCGCCTAAGCCTCGAGATTTCGTTAGTAGTTGTCAAAACCTTTGTGTCATCTATTAATGAAACCTGCAAGTTTGCATAAAATTGTCTGAAATCGAGCTATTTAACCAAACTATTAGCAATCTTTCTTTATAAATTTTTTTACATTTTATTATTTATTAAATTCGTGATGTATAAAACATGATAAAATAAAATAAAAAATATTATATAAAAACCGTGGTGGGACTACAAGTTCCCAAAAAACAAAAATAATTATATTTTAAAATTATGATTTGTAGGTTTTGTTTTAAGAAATAAAATTCTTTAGTTTCTGATGTAAGGGCTCTTATCTTATCCCCTATATTTTTTAAAAACTTTAAAGTTCCACTTGGCATATGTCCAAGGGAAGAGATAACAATCGGTGTAAAAATATAATTTGTGAATTTGGAATATTTCATTGTTTTTTTTTCTCGGCTATATCAACCGGATTAGAATTTAAATTTTTTGGGAAAGAAGATACGCATGTGAAGTCCCAAATTAAGGATTTCCCTATTCTGACAAGGATTGTTTTATAATTATTATATATATCTATGTCGCATTATTAACTATATTAATAATGCACCGATATAACTTTTTAGACGATATCGACATCATCGATACAAAAAAAAAGTTTTTTTTTATTTAAAAATATAAAGCTAAAAATCTATTTTTCCGTAGCTCAACGTAGACTAGAGGGCTATTTATCCCTTTCTTTGTATCGGTTAAAATTTAAAGTATCGCTCTGTATAGGTAAATCTCTAGTATTAATAATTTTTTGGTATTGTACATTATAATCGAAAAAAAAAATTTATGAACATTTGATATTAAAACATAGACAATTCCTAGAAACAATTTTTTTTTTAAATTTAGTTAAGTAAAAAAAAATAAAAATATCAAGAAATATAATTAAAATATAAATTTAATTAAAATTTACAACAAAATGATGGTTATGAATTGTGTACATTTAATTTACATTACTAAATTACTAATATAGATAATGAAATGATACAATAATAATTGTATCATAAAATAATTTTTGTTTCCATTATAATCAATCGGGGGGGGGGGGGGGGGGGGGGTTGTTATAATCGATATACTCTTGAATATGGCAATTAGAAAACATTCCATTTTGAAAGAATTTTTATCACGATGTAACATTTTCCTTAAATATTATATTTTATTGTGTTCGATAAAATCAATAGCACAATAAACACAGAAATGTAATGATTGTAATTAGATAATTCAAAAAACAATATTATTTGATAAAATAATAAGGTTAGTATAATTTTTATTTTCCAACTTTCAATAGGATAGATAAATAAAGTTTTATTACTATGTATCTAATTTGGGCAGTTGGGTTTAGGAGTTTTGACCATTAGATATCAAGGTGTTGACTTTATTTTTTAGAAAAAAAATGTAAAATTGTGTCCTGCGTCTTTCATTTTAAAATTCTAAAGAGTTATTCTGAAAATAGTACACCTTTAAGTATTTCAATTATCATCTTATTTCAAATAACTAAAAAATGGTGTCCAGGGTGCTAATCTTAATAGAATTCAGAATTAAGGACAAAAATTAAGTCGAGCTCAGACGTGGCCTAAATCTTTTACTCGGTTTCTACATTATACATCCTATAATTTTTTATTAAATAATTATGTTATGCATTAATATTAAGTTTATCTATTTTACAATTAATTTTTCGTAGGAGCCCTAGTTGTTTATAAACAATTAATTATTAAAAAGTTAAAACTACGATTAAAAAATAATATTAACCAAAAATTGATTGCATTAAATAGCTTAACCACTATATTAAATAAAAACACAAAACATAACATTTTGCATAACAGACAAGGTTAAAGATTATTATATTAAATACCTTATAAATTGAAGAATTATTATAAGTCATTATGGAAAATGGAAATGATATTTGTTATTAATGAATGTATCGAAAAAAAAGCAAATTGATTTGTAAGAAAGAATGGTGATAAATTTTAGATACAAAAATATCTATTGTTAACAGTGATCTGCATCGGGCCTAATTTTTCAAGCCCGGCCCGGCCCGAAATTTTTTTTAGAAAAGTTTTGCTAGCCCGGCCCAAACCCAATATTTTTTAAAAAAGTTTAGCCGGCCCTGGCCAGAATTCGAAATTTTTTTTTAAAAAAATTACCGACCCATCCTGGTCCGTATTTAAATATAGAAATTAATCTTTATAATTACTCAAAATAAAAGACATATGTTATATGTCGTTTAGTTTCAATAAATAAAATCAAATATTTTAATTTTACATAAAAAATTCAATATAAAATTGATAAATTTAGATATATTTAAAAAAAATTCCAAGGTCCGACCCGACCCGGCCCGAACTCGATTATTTTAAATAGAATTAGGCCCAAGCCCGGCCCGAAGTACGGGCCGGGAGCACTTATCATAATAGGACAAAAAAAATAAATATTTATCTTGACATTTTTTTTTCTCGCAGTTTGTACTTACATAAACTCCATTTTAAAAGGTCAATGAAATGCTTTATATTCGTATTTTTTTTCACAATATGTTTACTTAAATATTCCATAATGATCACATCATTATGCATAATGATAAGATAAAATATTTTTTTTAAAAAAACAAAATAAAAACTTCTTTTTATTCGTTTCAGCTTCGCGTCTCCAAAAGTTGACGTCTTCTTGTTCGGTGGTTGTGGAATACGATGAAATCATTAAGAACTTTTTGAAATAATTATCCGCGCGTGAATAAATATCATTATAAGAATATGGTTGTGTTTGTGAGCGATTTTAATATCCTAAATGGGAGTCGGGAACGATTAATTTTTTTAATAATGTGTTGATATGAAAATTGGGATAAGTCAGTGGCCTGTAAAATAAAATGGATAAATGTGAATGTAGATGGTAAGGAATGATGTTATGTTAAAAACTAAGAAAATAGATATATATTTTATCATTATAAAATTAAAGCCAAAATACCGCGATGTCACTCAAGCGATGAGCAAAATTGATCACTAAAATCATAGCATTTATATAATAATAATTTAACATTTACTATAAACGTAGTCTAAATGTATCAATCTATAATAAATGTTAAATAAACCATGCAAATATATTATTTTAATCATCTTTCCAAATTAAATATTTTTTCTAAAAATATTAAATTAATGTAACATAATCAATTATTTATTAGATTAAAGCCAATGATGTATATCTATATTACTAGATTGGCAATTCATTTGTTAAATGCATTTTAAAATTCCATACATAAGAATAGCTGTTGCGCCATTTTGTGGTTTGTATGTCGATTAAATGATATTAATATGCATTCACATAATGATACATAAAAACAATTGCAAACCACAAATTGGCGCTATAGCTGACTCTTGTGTAATAGGGGGAATATTTTTTTTTCGGAATAAGACATTAGTAGAGATATTGGATTTTGAAAAACAATATATAACAGATGAATCGTATGGTTTTGACTGAGAACAAAATTTATTTACTTTTTGAAATTCGTAGAATCTAAAAATAAAAACATACAAAATCAAATCCAATGAAAATATAATGCTATCTAGACAGATGATTCATTTATTCAAATGTGTATCAATACAAATCATCAGCTGGTGACATGCCATTTTGGTTTTCCATTATAAAACTTTAAAAAAATTATAAAAAAAATTGTTAAGGGAAACTAAAAAAAAGGTTTATCACGCTGATTTGTTATTCAATAAGACTTTAAAATGCAACTTAATGAATGAAATTACGAGTCAGTCTGTCTAGGTAGGCATCATATGTCACTGGGCCAACTAAAGAACTTTTGAATTTTCTCGGACCTGATCCATCTCTTTAAGAAATTAAAGGGAATCAGAAGAAGCTTCTATTTTATAAAATGACTAGGAATTGAATCGTTTTGAACAAAATTACAACTAGTTTTGATCCGATATATTCTAGAAAAATTATCAAAATAAACTAGAACCCATTTTATGTCCTCCAAACTTTGTAAATTTTTTAAAAATTTTTCTTATAAGGGGAAAACGTTTTAATAAAAAAAAAGTTTCAAATTTTAATAGCTATATGTTCAACATGGTAAACAGTTTTAGTGAAATAATTTCCCCAAATGTTTCCATTAAGAAACCTAAAAAATATGTTATCTAGGTTATAACTTTAAAATTTAATAAATGTATAAAAACAAAAAAAAAGGATTATTTTGTGCCAAATGTAATTAAATAATTATGTAATATAAAAAAAAATTTTTTAAAAAGGGAAATATTTTGTATATAAAATTAAATCGAAATAATTTAATATTTTAATTATAATTTATTAAATAATTCTATTTTTTGTATAAAATATTTTTTTAAAAAAATTGACAAATCAACGATTCGTAAATTTATAGATAAAAGTTAAAATTTGAATTGAAGATTATTTATGAACTATTATAAATTTAAATGTTTAAAATGTATTTATATTATAGGGTGGAGTTTGTGTTTTAATTTAAAATAAATTCAATTATCAATTTTTTTTTAAAATCTCTCAACCAAATTTAATCAAACATTCCACCCGCTCATACTATCTTTCTATTTAACAATATAGACTACAAACAAGTGCAATAACAAAATAATAAATATCATAAAACCTCTTTTTTGTTAAACATTTTTCTTGAACAAAAACTTCGATATATCATCAATATAAATTATATTATTTTATTTTTTACAGTACTCAGAGCATTACGAACAAACAAAACAGTGAAATATAATATTATTTATATTCATTTTTTATATATTTTTCGGTCAAGACCGCAATTTATAAAATTTCGTTATTTTGGCTCATGTTTCAAAGAGAAATTATAAATATTGAGTAGTAAATAAATAAATTTAAATAGCAAATGATCCATTGTATAATTTTCCAATTGATTATGATTAATTGATATAACTTTTTTTAAAAAAAATTAAATCGGTCCTATCCGGATTTTTAAAATCATACCAATTTTTTTGGCCAGTTATGAGCGGGATTCCGGCCCTCTGATAACTACTGAGAGAGTATATCATATATAATGAAACTATCTTAAATTTATATTAATATACTTATTTTCTTTTTCGTATGTGTACTTAGGGAGTTACTTTTATATTTTGGCGCGTTTATCAAACATTTAGTTTCACAGATATTTTTAATATCCTTTTTCTAATAAAAATAAATATAATATGTCGTAACAACGGAATAAGGAATTTCTTAGGATTCAATCGAAGATCCCAATAAATCTGAATGTGAAACAGATACTTTTTATAAAACTTTAAGCAATTTTAACGAATCAAGTTTGAAAGATGGGTCCTATCTCCTATGTAAATGTGAATAACTATTTAACTTATTCTCCGACCAGTTAACTAAAATTTAAACATTTGGCCCATTATCATCGATAAAACGGATTCATTCAATCGATCAATAACAAATTTATAAACGAATCTTTTATCGATATTCTATCATTCATTACAAATTTATACGCCGAGTAAAAAAGAATATTAAATATGGCCCAAGCTCCTAACGAAATTTGGCGGTATTTAACTCTCCCTGTGTTATTTGTATAGAAACAATGGCTAATCGCAAAGATTATTAGAATTTGTGTTTTCAGTTTACATAAGATGTCAACAATATAAATGAATACCATTTGATGTGGTATCTATTTGAAATTTTATATTTTTTATATTGCACCATATATAAATTGAATAAAATGTTATTAAATATGTTGCGTCATATTAATTTCACGCGGGGACTTATATACTAAAAAATCTTTTAGAAGCCATATATATACAGTCGTTTTTTTTCAAATAAAATTAGCCTTATCCCCTTTTGTAAAGATTATAGAATTTTTATTTATTATACTAAATTATTACTTAGCCAACATAAGACCTTGGCTCATATGTAACTTTATTAAATTTAAATAAGTTTTTCGGCATGAAGTTCTTTATGCATCATGTAGAACTAAGCGATATGGAATAAATCATATTTCATGATACAAAAAAGTCACGAAAAGACTGTTTAATTTTGACTCTAATAGATAAGTTTGCCCGTTGCATCGAACCGATATTAGTAGCCGATAACTAAAAATGATAATTAACCATATTTTTAAATTTTTTAAGTCTACATTTCTAAATTATATTTAAAAAAAACTAATACAAATTTCTAGCCCATATAGAAAGGGCTTTTGTTAATCCATTTTTAACCTTTCAATACTCTGGTGGGGTATATGAAACCCCAGGCATGCTAGAAATGATATTACATAAAAACGGTTAAATATTATTATCACGATTCTTCAGTAGCTTCATCAAATATATCTTAGAATCTATATTCCAAATTTCATATATTTCGGTTGAGTAGTTTTTTAAGATATAAGCATTTTGTGACTGATTGGGGTTTGTGAGACCCCACCAGAGTAAATTTGTATTAATACTTTTTATATTGAAGAATAAAGATTCATATTATGAATTATCATGACTATATGATGTATAAGTTATTTTTTTAATTTTATATTTGAAATTTAAAAAAAGTAAGCTTTTTTTAAAAAATTTTGGCACAAATTAAAATTATCCTCATCATCTTTAATCTAGAATTAAGAAATAAATATATTTAAATATTTTATCAAGCTTAAGGTTAGATCTATCTTATATCCAAATATCAAATGAAAATAATGAATATTACTAGAGATATATACATTTGAAATTGGGGTCTATTAAACCCCACCCGAGTACTAACGTCATTTTTTTCACCGGAGTATTGAAGGGTTAAAAAAATTTTTAAATGATAATATTGATGAATTATCCAATACGATACTTTGTTAGTATCGGCTAAAAATGCTATCAATACACCTTTGGTTATCATTTTATAGAGATAAGCAGTGTCCCTCCAGATATGATTTTTATAAAAATCTACCATTTATTCTTGTCAAGGTATTCCATTCAGTTGATTATCGTTAACCATCCATCGCATGTTTAATTAAATAATATATTAAAAAAAAATTTTTTTTTAAATTTCATATTCATCTAATTCATAAATAACATACATTCGACAATAACCATAAATAACAAATTTATTATGTAGACTAAAAAAATATAGTTTAGCATTGTAAAAAAAAAATTTCAGGTAAATTAAATTATCATATTTCGTTCATTTCTTAACAAGTTTTATCATATATGATTTTTCCTTGTGAGGTAATTTTATGATCGGGTGTTTTATTTTGATAGATCAGCCACTGAATTCATTCTTATGGGCTAGAGAGGGGTATCTTGATAACAATGTCAATTCAAAATGTCCAATAGGGAATCAGAAACATTCCCTGATTTAGTTTTTGGAGTCCCAATATAAATTAGAGAACTTTTGAATTTTTTTTATAATTTCTTATAATTTATTGTTATCATATATAAAGTTTTATTAAAGCATGGAAAAATATAATGTGCGAATTTTTCCAGGCAATGCGTCAACATATTCTACCAATATTTTTTTATAAAAAAATAATTAAAAAGCGAAATATTATCATATTTTTTAAAAAAAAGTTATCGAGCTCACTATAACCCCCGGAATAAACGAAATAATTCTAGTGCGATTTTTCAGATAATGCATATAATATTATAATTTATAAATATATAATATATTATAATATTCGCGTAAAATTGATAAGTAGGTTAAATAGATTCCTTTTAAAAAATATATATATATTCATTATTCATTGTTAAACTTAAACGCATGTTATATGTTCAACATTATGAAATAGATAGAAAGTAAGAGGGTGAAAAAAAAAGTTCAAGCTCTTTTTTAATAATACAAGTATAATATTGATTAGTAATTGAGATAAAAAGAGACGTGTTAAACTTTATTTTT